TTTGCCGCAGTGCAGTAGTAGAATTGAAGGTAGGAGAAAAGACCCTCTTCGTGATCGGCGCAGTTCGATAGGACGAAGGCACATTGATCTTTGGCTTGACGGACGAGACGACACTGTCAATCAACACAGCAAGCTTAGCAAATCCCCAATTCGATAGATGGTGTTTCAATTGTCATACCTCCAGCGCGTTGTCCCGCTTCCGAAGCTGAGCGACATTGTGAACCGAGACCCGCTCGGTTGGCTCGGCCAGGCGACCAGAAACCCAGCTGAGAATAGCAAGGAGGGAGAAAGCAAGTAAACACGCCCAAAAAGGTCTGGCCGAATATCCACGCTTCCGAGAAGCGGGACGTCGAGAAAGAAACTTGGGTATCAATAGAGGAGACATGGTGGACGATCGGATTGCGGCATCCTGGGCGATAAGCAAGCGGTGGTGGAGAGTGTCACAAGGCCGGATGAACTAGTTGGCTAGTTTAGGTTGAGAAGCCTGGAGGGAGGAGGGATGGAGATGGAAATCGGAGAAGGGAGGGCAGGAGAAGAAAATGGGAAGCAATCAGAGCCAAGATAAGAGTGTAAGCAAGGGGGGAGGTAATGGGATTAAGATTTGGGCCGTTTGCCAGAAACTTGAGGAAACTCTTTAAGACTTGACGATAGATAGACATGGATTGGAGAAAGTGACGGAATTGATGTCAGAAGAGCGGAGAGACCAAGCAAGCACATCAAGCTAGATCGGGAAGGCGGTGGGAAGGGAAGAGGAGCTGAGATGCCGATGATGATCCATTTTAGTCGATCAATTGAGTGGGTACAGCTTGCTTGGACTGATATAAAACCCATTATGAAAGATGATTCAACTGCATGAAAGTTTCACACAAGATCATTTTATGTCTAGATTCAAGTCCATCTATCTCTATTTATCTTATCTCTAACTACTCAACAACCAAACTATACTGCATGTACTGTGTAATAACTCTGGTATCTTTCCGATACCTACAGGGAATATCTATACGGTACCGGGTACCATACCGGATACCGAGTGCATGTAATGTCCTGTAATGTATTGTGGATCACTCAAAGAAAGTGCGCGGGTGGTTGCTGCCGCGCGGCCGTATGTTTATGTTGATTGTTTCCCTGTCTTCCAAGTTCCTTTCTTCGGCTTCTTCTTGGAGTGACTTTCTGCCTCTCCTTTTTGCGACACATGGAAAGGCGGTGATCGGGGCACGCTCAACTTGATATCGCGATATTGTTCCTTTACCTTTCCCCTCCTATCAAATATTGATCTGATTCTCCTTGTCACCAAAGAGGAAGTCGCTACAGTTACCGTCGTTCTTTCCCCCCTCCTCCCCTCCCTTCCCTCCCCCCTCTACGGCCAGGGGATTACTTCACAATGCCCCGCGTCGCCAAACCCCAAAATCGCCGCTCCACCGGCGGCGCATCGACCCCTCATAAGCACTCACCTATGAAGTATGTCCTATACTATCGCACCCCATCTCATCCTATAATGCAGCCATGGCGCTGACCGTACTAGGATCCCGCTCAATGATGACATGGGCGAGAAGGCGGCCCGTATGGAGGCCAGACAGGCGCGACATGATCGCCAGATGGATCAGATCAAGGCCGCCGTGAAGACCCCCATGCCCCCTCGACGATACACCGGTCACGACTTCAACAACATGAGCCCGTCGACGCCCCGTGGATCGGGACATCGGGGTCGCGACAGCGATGTCGACGGACGCCGTCGGGCAGTCACCCCAATGAAGCGCGTGCCTATCTTGGCAAACTTTGAAGAATGGATGAAGATGGCGACCGACAACAAGATTAACGCCAATAACTCCTGGAACTTTGCCTTGATCGACTATTTCCACGACATGTCTCTCCTCAAGGAAGGAGATGGTGTGAATTTCCAGAAGGCGAGTTGCACCTTGGATGGATGTGTGAAAATTTATACAAGCAGAGTAGACAGTGTGGCAACGGAGACGGGTAAGCTGCTGAGTGGTTTGGCGGATAGCCGGGATAAGAGGGCTCGCGAAGCTGGCGCAGACGGCGAAGATGCCGAGGATGATGAGGACGGTGATGAAGGTGCGGCCAGGAAGGCGCGAAGAAAGGTTTGTAGGCGTATCAAACATATAGACATCTTTCAGGGTAACTAACTTGGCACTATTAGGCACAACGGACACATGAAGCTACCCTCGCCCCCTCCTTCGCTTCGCTCCAGCTGAAGAAGTTTGAGCTGGAATTTTCAGTTGATCCTCTGTTTAAGAAAGCCTCGGCGGATTTTGATGAAGGTGGTGCTAAAGGCCTGCTCCTTAACCACCTATCAATAGATAGCCAAGGGCGCATCGTGTTTGACAGCAGTGACGATGCCGCTGAGGAGACCTCCAAGGATGCAGAGGATGCCAATCAAGACTTGGAAGAGTCAGAAGAACCCCAGCAGCCAGGCTCCCCATCCGGCCCCAGCCAGTCGGCGGATAATGTCTTTGATGATAACGCAAAAATCGACATAGCTCCGCTGGCGAGCAAATTCTTTCCGGATCTGGACCGCCTCGAGACCCAGGATATCTGCCCATCACTCAAGAACTTCGACCTCGGTGATCCGAGCGGCTCGCTAGATATACCCTTCCTGAAAGCCCCCGAAGACTGGCGTAACGACAAGGAGGAAAGTCAGCACCCCAATGATGCATCGGGCATCATGCTCGATGACGATAATGCCGTGGGATTCGATGATGACGACGCTACGTTAGCCGGATTCGACCTAGGTGGCGATGCTGGTTTTGGTGACGGTGGTGAGGCGTGGGCACGTGAGGCTGCTCTTGAACCAATGCTCAAGGTGCACCGCGTCGATAGGGAAGGTGACGAGAACGCTGATGGTGAAGAGCTCGACAATGAAGATCCATATACTATCTCTCTCAGCCACCAGCCAGAGAACCGGGACCATGAGAACATCCTCAGCTATTTTGATAACGCCCTGCAAAAGAACTGGGCTGGCCCCGAGCACTGGAAGATCCGGCGAATCAAGGAGCAAACGGCCACAACGAATGCCAATCTGGCACCAAAGCAGCGCAAGGAGAAGGAGCCCTTTGAAATCGATTTTGGTGCTCCTTTGGACCCGGCTATTGCTGAGATAATATACACTCCGGCCAGTTCCAACTCCACCATATCCCTGCCCAAGACGCAGTGGAAGACTAAAGGACGCAACCTACTTCCGGATGACAAACACTTCAATTCGCGCCAGCTACTTCGTCTGTTCTTGAAACCTAAGGCTAAGATGGGCTCAAAGAAGCTGACAGGTCCTCGGCAATTCACTCAGCGACGACAAGACCAGACGGCGGGTAACGGCGAGATGGACGAGGCATTCTGGGCTAATCACAAGGTGGAAGATGCTGCAGCGTCCGAAGAAGGCGCTCAGGGTGCTTATGATGCCAACTTCTTCGCAGATGATGATGGTCTGGCATTCCCCAACGGCTTCGGCTTGGATGATGATGACGACAACCTCCCCTTTGCAGATGCCAGGGAAATGTTGTCTCCTCCTGCTGATGGACCTCCAGGCACATCCGCGGGCGAGGCCGGCGGTGCAACAGGTCTTAGTGCCCTTCTCAATATGATGGGATCGGCCCCTGGGGCCACGCAGAACAGTGGTGGGTTTGGCTCGCAGCTGGTAACGCAGGGCGCGCGTAGGGCACGACCTGACTACGTGGCATATGCACGAGTTGCCAAGAAGGTGGACGTCCGGCGACTGAAAGTGGAGATGTGGAAGGGCATGGGTGAGCGGCTGATATCAACTACGCATTTCGAGCCTGCTCCCCCGGCTGAAGACCCTACAAAGTCCTCTGAGGAAGCAGAAACTCATGATGCTGAAGCTGAAGCGCAGCCGGAGCAGGAGCCGGAGCCGATGGATACCAGCCCAGACCATGGACCCGAGGACGAGAAACAAGCAAACGAGAGCCTTCGATTTACCCAGATCATGAACTCATTGAAGACAGTGTATCCCCGAGAAACACTCCGCGACATCAGCACCTCCTTTGGGTTCATTTGTCTGCTTCACTTGGCCAATGAGCAGGGCTTGGTCTTACGGAACGATGATGGGTCGGACGGCGTCGGTGCCGGTAAGCTGGAGGAGATCTTCGTTTCGAAGGATGCAAATGCCGTTCTCGAAGAAGGAGCCATATAATCCAGAGCTCATGTGACAGTTCTGCCTTTGCGTGTGCGGACGTGAATGATTGTACAGTCACGGTCTTTGTATGGAATGCCAAACGATGCGATACGAGGGATGTTCATTTTTATTCCGGTTGGATATAGGCTTTTGGTTGCTATTGGGAGGGAGTTCTAGTGGCTGGGTGGGTGGTGTGCGTTTCTTTCAACTTATTCGCGTTCCACTTGGGTAGGTGATAGACCTACATGTCAGGGATGGTTAACGTTATGGTTTCGTGTTTATTTTACATGTTCATACGTTGCTGGATATGCCATGAACGCCATGACACTCCCTTGTTTACATAATAACGAAGAGATCCGGTTACTCTTTACTTGAAAAGATCTTAACTATTTGTCCAACTAACGCAACCCACCATCCTGGCTGTTCGCAACCAAGAACAACAACACCATAATTAACCACCTCCAACCAATATTCGTATTCCGCAATTACATGCCTTGTATGCCTGTATAGGCCACGGCATAAGGAAACAGAGGAAATGATTAGACAAAAAGCCAACGTAGTTGAGTGTATCACTGGTATAAAAACAATTAAACAACAAAGCTGACACTTATATAGAAAGCGAAGGGTAATCAGTAGATAGGGGGGAAACGGCCGTGAGGTAGTCCAGAAACAGGTGAGGGACCACGTCATATCGAAAACAGATCAATCATCATCAAAGAGTACGAGAGCTATATGCAATCTTTGAGGGCCAAGTCTTTAAAAGCTGGACTGGTGTGTCAGTATTTAAAGACATGATCCTTTCCCTTATTTTCTCTTCTAGACTTATGTCCAGCCAGCAAGGCAACGGTCAGGGATTTTACTGGTGGGTTCCGTGCGGAAAGCTAGGACTCATAGGGCCGGCATAAGCACCGGGAATGGGCACAGACTCATAGGTTCGTTCGCCGGGTGCTGCACCCATGTGCTGGTTAGGAGCGCTTGGAACCGGTGCCGGTGCAGGTGGCGGTGGGAATTCACTCTGCACCGGTTGTGGAGATGCCTGCTGCACCCTAATCGGGGGCGGCTGAAGCTGGAACGCCGACTGCTTTTTGAAATCAGTCGGGGGAGTGGCGAACTGGGTTGTGCACAACTGTCCGTTCTCAGCAGCAGAATACTGGTCTTGAGGAATCGAGGTTGACACGAAGGGAGCCTTGGGCATGGTGGGAAATCCGGGCGTGTTGGGGTCCATGTTCTGGCGGAGCTGAGCGATGTACAGGTCTGTTCGTGCTCTGTCTCGACGGTCCATCGACCTGGCCAGCTTTCTCTTGCTCCAGAAGCGGTAGAAAATGACACCGTAAATTACGAGGACAAAGACTTCGAGGACGATCTCAATGACGGCACAGACCAACCCCCAGTCCTGTGAGATGTTCGTTAGTATGTAGCAAGTACTGGCTAGATAGCTGACTTACCTGCAGACGACAGAGGAGTGCGTAGTCGATTTGGTCTTTGAATAGTTGTTCTCTCTCGTTATGGACACAAGCCCAGCCCCATAGGTCTTTGTCATCTCCAGTAGCCTTCGAATGTTCAAAGATTGCGGCGGCAACAATCCACATGACTAGTTGGAAGATGAAGAGGAACACCGACAGGAGCGAGTAATAAGCCGCATATTTCTGTGCACGTCTGCGTCCACCTCTCCAGTAGCCCCAGAAGACACCAAGGCAGGCAATCAAGGAGAGACATGAAACGGCTAGAAGCAGATATTGTGGCCAAGGATTTGTGCCAAATTCCCAAGGAGGGGAAGTGTTTCGTTCAGGCAGTGACTTCGTTGCGTTGAAGACAGTCAATGTCGTTCCCAGGATGGTAAGGACAATCATACTGCAGCCAAGGTTGATGAAACGAAGGAACACCTTGGCTACCCGAACACGCAACTTGATACGCTATAGCAACTTGGATAAGCACCCAGGCAGGTCAACAAATACACTCGCATTCACTTACCAGGTCTCTCTGGTTTTCCTTTTCCGTAACCTTTTCTTGCTTCTCCACGAAGAATTCCTCTCGAAACGTTGGACTCAACGGATTCAAAGTCCGGCCTGGAGTGCCTGGAACCTTGAGAGCACCCTTCTGGTCATTGGCCGGAATATCGTGATGCGAGGCATGCTTAGCAGGGTCACTCGCAGCTACATAGCCGAAGCCGAGGTCAGACACGTCAGGGGGCGTCTGCGAATTGCTGGGAGGGTCGGCAAAAGGAGACTTTCCGCTATCTCCGGGACTAGAAGGGGAGTGAATCATGGTTGCTTCTGCGAAGCGAGCTGTTCGACCACCCTTCAGCGAGGAACTCGACCACTCGGAAGAGCTCCGTTCCTCTGTAGTCACAGCAGGTTGTGATGGTAATGCCATTACCCCGGGTTTGTGACTGGATAAGAGCCACAGGCGACACTGCTTCTAAGGGCCGAGGGGAGCGATAGTGACTGTCGGGCGGTGCAGGCAGGCAAAGTCGCTGAGCGCAAAGGAGGCTTGCAGAGAACTCGAAAGGTGTGAAGAGAACCAGCTCTCAACCTTCGCCCGGTAGATTGCCAACTGTGGAGTACAGCAGGCACTTGTGACAGCACAGCTACACAAGCATCAAGCCTAAAGCCACACTAGTTAGCTTCCAAGCAGGACAAAAGAGAGAGCCAATGCAAAGTTTGTAGGATCATGTCCCCATAAGCTGTGAACTGAATATTCAAAAGGCACATACCTAGATGTAGGACGACGATGAGGCAAGCGTACAAGCCCTGACTGTGAAGGACTATCAGTTGGACATTGTTCACCTTGGGAGACATAGGGTAAGGGATCAACGTGGAAGAGAACGAACCGATGGCCTGCTGCTTGGCTTTGCACCTCACTTGAGATCACTTCTTGGATCCTGCACAGGTTGAACCAAGGGGCGGGCCACAGCGCAAGGCTGAAGTGATACGTTTGGAGTCAGAGAAGAAAAAGAAGTTGAAGGAGCCGCGAGGGCAAGACGATCTCTGGGCAGCATGACCGATTTGAATATCAATGATGGGCCCTGGCCTCGCCATCCGTCGCCAGGCGGGGGAGCGCACATCGCGAGCTGGATTGTATGGACTGTATGTGAAGGGGAAAATAAGCGCCCGGCAACATGCAGCACATCAAAGGGAAGCCAGTGATTGGGTGGTCGAGGGAAGGTCTTGGGTGTGAGTAGAGGACGACAGGGGTGAGGAGCACGATGACTGGATATCGAGTAACACCACTAGAGCAGTTGGACTGGCTTATCACAGTGGGGAAAGTCGCGATACGCCGGGGCAAAGGCCATGGAGGTTCCCGTGCTGTCACTCCAGATGCACGGCCTGTCACCCGTGGAGCGAATGAGGAGAGTCAATCAGCCGGTCTGGCTTCTTCTTCCCGGCGCCAACTGTTGATCGTCTCGGGGTCCAGCCAACCACAGATGTTGCAGAACCGCCGGCCATCAACGCCCGCGAGAGTCAACAGCAGGATTTCTGCTGCAGGTTCCGAGTAGCTCCAAAAGAAGAAAAAGCCATGAGGGGTTTATCTACTAGTACTGTAGGAAGGGATCAGTCAGTTGATATGGGAGGGTTGTGCGTGCTTTCGGAAAGACAGCGGAACAGAATGAACACTCACCCTGGCCTGATCCATACTTAGTCGCTGGGAGTGACATCGGGGGAAGGGGAAGAATGAGAGGATTGAGAGAACCAAATTGACGGGTTGGGAGTGGATGGGGTGAAGGTGACCCTTCCTTCCTTCCTTTCCTTCCCTTTCCCCCCTCTTCGTCCCCTCACGTGTTGAGCTACTAGTCCCCGGCCCAGCTGCACTGGTTATCACATCCACCATTCCCGTCACGGCGCTTAAGCGCCCTCTTCTCTGGACTCTTCCGGCTGCTTTTCTCCTCTTCTGTTCCATGGCAATTCTTCCATGTTGACGTGCCAACACAGGCCATGATTTCCTCGTCCAGGATATGGAACCTTGCATCGAATAGAGAGGGAGGCGAGCACTCAATGATGTGATCCCCAATCCACGACCAGATCAGGTACAGGGGTATTATCTGTATGCGCACCGAACCGACTTAGGGTGTCTGTGATATCTCAGAAGCAGTATAGATTGAAGTCTGGGAATCGGCCTCTCCCTCCAGCCTAGACCAATGAGCTGGCGTAAATCCAAGCGTTCGTGCTCTTTGGCAACGAATTTGGTACTCCAGCATCAGGGGCTGCATGTGTTGGGACACGAACCTTGAGAACCTGGAAGGGGCAATGGTCGTGCACATTGCCTTTCGTGAGCACTAGCTCAAATTGCATGTCATTTCTTCCCCCTCTCCTGACGGTTGAGAGTTGCGGACACGCTATCTGTCGGACAGTCAAGCTAGATCAACGCAACGTTCAGCCCTGCGATTCCTGCTTCTCGGTCGCGCCCGAAACTTTCACAAAAGCTCACAGTTAGGCCTGCCCAAGAAATGAGATGCCAACATCTTTCCCTCGAGCGTTGGGTGGCATTTTCTGTGCTCGTAAGTCTCTCCAACCCGAAATATAGAGGACTCCGATAGGCGAGTTGTGGTCCAACATCGCAAATTCATCAGAAGCACAATCACGGATGAAGGAAAAGACAACTCTCGCTCAACACAGATGTTGCAGTTTCGCCACATCACAAATAGAAGCCTTACGCTCCCCGACCTCATCATAAGCTGTAGACATCTTCTGAGGGAGCTCTATTCCTTAACCCAGCATGGAACATAGTAAAATTTCAATCACCGGTATGCAAATGTCAACTGAGCAATTCTTATCATGGCTAGCATGAGCGAGCAAACTAAGCCCTCAAGAAAGATCAAATATTGCAGGACTCCGGTCTCTGAAGAATACTCCCTTTATTGCGATGATCAAAAAAAATGGTGACGACGTTGTTAGGTCAGAAGTCGATGATTAGACACGAACCCTAGACTTATTCTCCCGGGAGATGGAAACGGCTCAGAATCAACTATCATTTATTGAGGTGAACCGAAAGCCATATATATGCTACTATCCAAGTAGGAGGAAACACGGTTATACAGATAACAATTGCCCCCGAATGAGCCGCCTGTAGCTGCATTGCTAACAAACTGAGTGCATCATGACATGATAGATAAATGAGCAAATTTATTGAATATCCACTTAGTATATTGTTCTGTTCTATGTAGCGTATGACATTCAGAGACTGATATCACTAAAGGATCTGCCGTGTATCCTCCCATACTATCATCATAGGCGGGTAGTTGTTGAACCATATGGCCAAGTACCAGTGCGTAGGTACTTGGTAAGCAGGGTCTTACTACCAACCCTGAAATCCCACTGATAGCACAACTTTGCTATTGTATATGTAGGACATATTCTTCATCATCGTGGATGCCTTGACCACTAGCACATGACATATCTGGCTCGATGTTGCCTAAAAATATCATGACGAATGCTTTGGATCACCTACTACTGATCCACCTTCCATGATACAGAGGGCCAAGAAGAGTTGTCTTACGGGAAAAAAAAAACGACCGACTCATTATAGCACCCTCAAGTAGTTCACACCCCAGCGCGTAATTCAAGGGGTCTACTGTCAGAACTATGTTGTTGTGGACAAAGTTTGGAAGACACGCATGCCATGACTCGGGGCTATCAGGCTTGGACACCAAAGGGATCCGGAGTACTCCGTGGAGATGGATAATGGCATAACGGCAAGGGGGACAATAAGGGAGTTTGCGGACGGAGATCGCAGCCTCGGGAGTAGTAGTAGGGAGGATCAGATATTAGGCGTATGGCCTCTTCTTAGCTTTAAACTCACATATTGTAAGACCCTGAATGTCTCGATATTGAGGCAAAGGCAAAAAGGAAAGTAAGTACTAACGACTAGTGATGTATTGGTGCTGGAATTCTAAGCCATCTTCGCTTACCGTGGTGACCTAGTAAGTTTGGCGTGCAGAGACCATGAAATAGTAGTGAGTAGAGTACTAAGTAATGAGTGAAGGACTACTTCCTATGTAGTACCAATCTGGATCACAAGGGTAGCGAGCAGCATTTTTAGTACGACACAAAGTACTACTCCTTCACTCTGTATTAAGTAGTCGTAACATGATTAGGAATAAAACATGGCAGCTGTTGGTGGGTGGAGAACAAATGAGAAGAGGCCCAAAGCGCATGTCGGGCAGGCGGTGGGCCTGTACAGCCACCGTGTGACCACCCCACTCGGTTCTAGAAAACGGGCTCCAACTGGTCAGGCGCCCAGAGCCCAGCTTTCTCCGCAGCTAGACTGCCAGCCACAATGAAGTTTCAGCCTAGCCACACAGCCTCATTTTCCATCCGCCTCTCCTGAATCTAGTATAGCCCTCCCAACCCAGTGGCCCAATGTAGAGGAATTTTTCTGTAGTTCCACTGTCCTGCATACGGAGAACACCGTACTCTATTGGCACCTTCAGCTTTCGTCTCCCTTTGGTCTCCTCTGTGTGTTTCTCTCTCTCTCTCTCTCTCTCTCTGTCCCTCTTCCTCTTTTTTTCCGTCCCACTTTTTCATGCATAAATGGGAGTCGGCAGACCCTGTCTGTATCCTCCGGTTCAGCCACCCACCATATGGCTGTGTCTTGTGCTTTACGCTCATTTCTTCAGGCTCTGGAATGTCCCATAACTGTGGCAAGGCGTCGCTTGTCAGCTAATGAAATCAAGTTTTCAGCTGTAGGGTCTGTTGAAGCCAACCAATAGACGCAAACGTACTATGTAACCTGCAGTAGTATGGTCTGTAGTAAGAGTAGGCGATGCTCCACAGTTGGACATTACTTACGTACAGTGGCAGCAACCCCTTTTATTCCGTGATTGTTTGATAGAGACAGGTTATTGAACCTACACGACATCCATGAATGAAGCAATTATACAAAACTCAAGATGATTAGTGTAGAATACGTGGATGTGGATTATGAGAATGGACTACTATCTTGCCTCTCCATGAATGCCAAGACTCACCCTCTATAAGTATTAAGCTGCTTCTCAGTTATCGAGACTAAGAACTTTAGTGTATCTGGTAAGGCAGGCACTCTGTACACCGTGCTCTGTAGTAAATTACTAGTGAGTAGTTCACTAGTAAGTACTCCGTAGATCTTGTATACTCAGCCCCAAAGGCCCATGCTGAGGGGAAAGGTTCTGCATCGTCACCCTCAATATGGAGGAGAGCATCACATTAAGCTATCCAGTAACTGTGTAGTAGTAATCTTCAGAATGATGCCCAAAATGGGCGAATTTACTTTTATTTCATACTACATACAGGAGCATCTAGTTATCTGCAAGCTTTCAGTTTGCTCAGCCCATGCGGCGGTGATTAATACGCAACGCCTCAAATGGGACGGGAAAGTTGGAAAGTTTCCGGTTTCCTGAC